TGATAGTGGACTTCAGCACTAAGCAGGAGAGGAACTACCAGACCCCTGTCATCAACGAGTGCCCAGTGGAGAGAGTGGACAGCTTCAAATACCTCGGAGTTCACATCACGCACAGTAAGCACATTAGTAAGCTTCTGGCAGTAAGCTTCTGGCAGCACAGATGAACAGATGAACCCAATACATGAGTGGGGTACAGAAAGGAATTGGCAAGAAAATCGGAGGCACAAGACACCAGTTAGTGCTAGACTGAGCAGTCAGCCAAGACTGCAAGACTAGCCTGACCAACCTGTGCACTGACTGGATTGATTACAAGAAGACCTCCGAATTGATGGCCCACACCTGGATCCTGTAATACCTAGAACTGTACAAGATCAGGAGGACCCTAAGACCCTTCATCAGTAACTCAAAATGGATGTGGCCTACAACACTAGAGGCCAGTTTCAAGCCAATAGCACAAACAACCAGAAGGCAACATTGCAGAAATTGAGGGCAGTTATTAGTACCTGGGGATCCCACAGGCAAATGGAAACTTTGAAGAGGCCGCTAGGAAAACTTTGGCTACCAAGTACCTGCATAGGGTCAGTCAAGACTTACCTCCTGAGCTACTGCCACCCTGAGACAAAGATGCCCGTGGGACATTCCAGCACATAGCAGCAGGGTGCAAGATCCTAGCAGGCAGGGTATACATGGAATGCTATAACCAAGTGGCCGGCACATTATACAAAAACATCTGTGCCGAGTATGGCTGTGAGGTCAAAATGGGTGGTGGAGAATGACCGAACAAAGATCCTGTGGGACTTTCACATACAGACAGACAAAATGGTGATGGCTAACCAACCAGAGATAGTGGTGGTAGAAAAGCGTAAGAGGGTGGCTGTAGTGATAGATGTTGCAATACTGAATGACAGCAACATCAGGAAGAAGGGACACAAGAAGCTTGAGAAGCATCAAAGGCTCAGAGAAGAGCTCGAGAAAATGTGGAGGGTGAAAGTACTAGTGAGTGTCAGCACCACGGTCCAAGATGAGACAAGGAACATCCACCACAAATACATCAAGAAGATGGCCCCAACTGACCACATACTCAGTGAATACATGAATATGACATTCAGACACACACACACACACACACACACACACACACACACACACACACACATACTAATAATA